TGTACCGACAACATCATCGCCCCGTCACCCCCTGCGACCCCCACGCGTTCATCAATTATTAGCCAGCCCCGGACGCGTCCGAAGTGTTCCGCCCCCCAGAGTCTGTCTCTCTTGCACCCGCGGGGGGATGGTGGACCGGCCGCGACGGTAAGGGTGTTCGCACGCGGCCGCCCCCGCGGGCCCGCGGGTCGATGGCGGCGGCCGGACGGCACCCTGATCAGATAGCGGCGCACGCTGTGACGCTGGGCACCCCATGCCATCCCCCAAACTGCTTGCACACTTTTTCGAAATTTTTACCGTTTTGTTTTTATTTTTACAGTGTGTGCGGCCGGCTGTGGGTGATCCCACGCTGGCAGTTGTTATTTATTCTGGCCGCGGTTATAAACGCACACACACGCGCGCGCGCGCACGCACACCGGGGTGACAGGGAAATTATTTAGTGACCGAATCAGGGAGGGCTCTCCGGTCGTGGAGGGGTACTTTCCTAATCCGTGGTGTTTTAGAACGGGTAGTGGGGGTTTCAAATTAAAACTCAAGCATACGAACTATTTTACCTATGATACAAAACTTTAGTGTTCCGCACCGAGCGAGATGCTATAACTTCGAAAATCAGTCTAGGGTTCGAATAGCCTCCCCTATAGGGTCCGCCATCTCTACTACCTCTCACAATAATTTCGAAGTGGAGAGAAAATGACTCTCCACTTGGAGACTTCACTAAGCGATAACACCTGGCTCTCCTTGTTGCAGATCCGCGTCTCCGAGACACGCAGCCGGTCGCCGACGCCGATCTCGCCGACCTCTCCGCCTCCGTCACTGCGGGCGTCGCAGCCGCCGGCCAAGAAGAAGAACCCGTACTCGATCGAGGAGCTGCTGAAGAGGCCGGACCGGAGCGAGCGGCCGCGCGTCCTCGCGCCGTCGCCGTGCCCGTGCCGCCCGCCCCCCGCCGCCCCAAGCCCCAACCCCCCGGCCGGCAGCACCAGCAGCTTCTGCCACTCGCCGTCCTCCGCCTTCTCCGAGGCGCCGCCGTCGCCCGTGTCTCCGGCGTCGTCGTCGGCGTCCTCGTCGGCGGCCAGCGTCGCCCTGAAGCACGCGCCGCTGCGGTCACCGGGACCGGCCCCGGCCGCCGCCGTCGCCTCGCCGCTGGCCGCGGTGTAGTGCGTGCCCCTGCGCACGGCGCGCCACCCGCCCCGCCCGCTCCGAGTTGCGTTAGGCCCGGCGACGTTGCGACAGACCGGATTTCTCGCGACGAATAGCTAAGCGTGTTTTTGTCGACGTTCCCAGAAATGGAAAGCTCGTCGGAAATGAGCGTGTGATGAATCATCCCCAGTGTGTGTACATATTGATCGTGATTATTATTATTTATTATTTATTTCTATTTATTGATTAGCGTTTTGCTGTTTAGCCGGCAAAGAGAACTGTCTTGTTTCCTCACTTGGACAGAAGCCATGCATTTAAAAACGCCATACTTTGCCATGTTGCGCAAGTAGCTTTGAGGTGAATAGAGCGCCTCGGAACATCACTTTGTTCACGGATTTATGTGATATTACTATTATTAATTTTTACTTATTTCTCCCCCATTGTTCGCTTAACTCATGGCAGTAAACAGTCCTAGCAGACTTATTCAATATTTTGTTCCTTTCCCCACCACTCTCCTCCCCACCTTTGTTTTCCTCAAGGGATTGAACGAAGGTTTAAGGAAGAGTACAATCTGCTTTAAATAGACTAGTTTATTTTTAACGTGCTGTCGTGGAGTAAGACCATCTCCGGCATCACCGGGGCGAACTCCAATGTAACATTCACCTTTCAGTCTTATCAAGTGTAGGTGTAATTTTATAAATTAATGAACCCAATATCAGGATAAGTACAACCACGATTGAAATGAATATTGAAATGGATGAGATTTGTGAAATGAACGAGATGATCTCAGAGATGGCTACCCAGATTCTTGGGACGGCACATTGATATCACATGACAAAAAAATGTTAACTACAAAACTACACCCGTCTCCTTTAACCACCTAAATTATGACAATGACGACGAGGCGGTATTCGATGGCAATATGATTGTTTCGATGCGTGTACATGATGGTGAAACATTTCTAATGGAACAATGTATAAAGCACACAAATTATTCTTAAGCCTAGGTAACACTCAGTTTCGCACAACACTACACTATCATTCAGTATGGTCCACTTTGAAGATTATTTTAAGCAAGACGTTTCGTCTGCCGTTCAGCATCTGTCAGCCGTTCAGGACGGGGTTGTGATTTCGAGAAGACGTTTTCCAAACTTGAGACACCGCAGAGAAGCGCATTCCGCCTAGTGGATGCCCTCCAGAGGGCTGTAGACGCGGTACTGGTAAAGTTCGTTTCCGCCGTAGCCGTACAGCAGGCGACCGCGCCCGTTCTGGTCGTAGTACGGGTACCGGTACTGGGGCCTGCAATCAGCGAGAAGAGTTACCACCGACCGAGAGCACGGGCAGAGGGTACGGAGTATGGCAAGGGGAATTCCATAAAGTGACAGCATCGATGAGAAATGAACCATCCGTGATAAACCCGACCTAGGACACACGTTTGGGTGACGATGGCGGTGATCGGGATGAGGTGCATGACACGGTGATGATCATGGCGGTCAATGATGAAAAAGAGGAAGATGGGCGTGAATACACAAATGACAAAAAATGAACAACAAATAGAAAAGCTTTGCGGTGAAAAAATGACGTAATGAATGAATTCAAGTGCTGGCACCAGGCGAACCAACCCACTCACCTTTCAAAATACTGGAAGTTTGGGGCTCGCGGCTCTGGGATGGTGGCCTCGCAGGCGGGCGCGAGGCACACCATCGCCAGCACGGCCTGCCAACAGAACAGAAAACGAGCGTTCATTAGCGTGCAATCAAAGAGCAAAGTGGACCGCAACCCAAACTGAACCCGCGAACCGTTTCGCACACAACTCCTTCACTGGGCAAAGCATTCACCCTAGAAGTCTCTGCCAATAATTCGCAACGGGATAACTCACTCACCAGGAACGCAACCACCACTAGCTTGGGGACCATTGTCGCACCTGCTCTCGCACTCTCACGACTGTTCTGACTCGGCGACCACGATGGACTAACTGTGAGGACGGGCCTAGAGCTATTCATCCCCGCCCTTCTCGCCCCCACCACCTCCTCGTCTTCGCCCCCTCCTCTTTCCCTTCTGCTTCCCTCCTCCATTCCATCCGCGTTCGTCGTCTAGTCTTCTTTGTGTTCACTTTCGTTTTCATGTCGGCAGAGAAAGTCCCCCTCCGTACCCACCACGTCGGTACTGCGGGCGGCATGCCGGCGGGTGGGAAAGGGGGGGGGGTCGAGGAGGGCAGACTCGGGTAGGCAGACTGATCACCCGAGGCGGATGGGCGGATGGATGGACAGGAAGACTAGGATCAGAGAAGGACCAATGACCTCTCGGCTGGACAAAAGGGCGTAATCGGGTCTTTCATCGGGAGTAAACCGGCTTTGCCGCGCCTCGCCTCGCCCTAGACAACACACCTCCTGCTGCTCCAAGAGCGCCAACCTGACCAGCCTGACCCACCACCGGCACCGCTAACCAGCAACACACACTTACTGCAAGCGGGGCCGAACCGTCCAAAAGTAAGCCAGACTCCTTCGGCGACGTTTCAAAACGGTATTCGATACGTGCCGCACGGTCTGGCGCGCGCTG